GTACAATGGTATATAATAACAACAACTTCATTTCTTGCAGAAATTTTTTTAAGATCTTCGTTGAGGTCGTGAATTAATTTTTTTCTTCATCAATCAGTTTTCTGCAAAAATTAAGATTTTGTAAATAAAATATAAAATGTTTCTCTTTTCTTCTCTCCGAAGAGTTAATTAAAAAATCTGTACTCCACAGAGTTAACTAACAAATGTGTAGTCAGAAGAGTCAATTCAAAAGTGTACTCCGAAAAGTCAATTTAATAGCGTATTCCGAAGAGTCAATTTTAAAGCGTGCTCTGAAAAATCAAATTAATATTGTAATTTGAAAAGTCAATTTATAATAGAATATTTACTTCGATGATTCAGCTAAAGAAAAAAACATTTATTTATTATTATATTCAGAGAATAATATTTAACTTATTATTTATACTTATTTTACTTATGCTTACCCTACATATGCTTCTTTGAATGAAAAATTTAATTTGTTGACTGATTCAGATTCAGATTCGTTAAAATATTTCTTATGCGCAACTCTTGAACAGGTAGGTAGTAAAATAATTTTTTTTCTTTACGAATTTTATAAACTTTTCACGAACATAAAAATTGAAAGATTCTCAGAGGACAAATAACTTTTCTTGAACATTTAAACCAAAGGAAAATATTTTCCTATTAATAAAGAATGAATAATTAATATCTCACACAAGAGGAATCTTCATCCTTAAAATCACCGTGCGATTTTGCTTTTAGAAAAGTATAATATTGATTTAATAGTAACAAATGCTACCCAAAAACGGTGCAAATCTTAAACGTTTTTGAGAAATGTAGTTCGAAGTTTAGTCTTTTCTGTTAATGTCGTTATAGCAGAAGAATTACCAATTTGCTTCAGTAGCGCAGTGGATCAGGCTTTGTGATATGAGCGTAGAGGTTGTTCAAGTGTGTTATTTTTACTATCACAGGGAGGACTATGTAGAATGTATAATAATACTCAGACAAATACTTTACATAATCATACTTATCTCTTTTAGCATGAATAAAAATGATCAATGCTAACGTGACAAGTGTATATCGCAATTGTACATGTACGCAATTGTACACATACGCACACATATACACACGTATACCAATGATGTCAAAATCGAACAATTCGTGAAAATTTTTTATTGATCGCAATTGTACGCAAAGATGAAAGAGAAGTACACGGGTCTCCGCGGGTATCTCGTCATATTAATTGTCTATGAGCTGATAAACAATTGATCTCCGGTATTTACAAGTTACGCTTGTCCGCAGCTTGTTCGGTTTTGACATCATTGGTATCAGTGATGCGAATTTGGTGATGGGTTTGCACGAGGATTCTCCTCCCTCCCACCCATATACGCACATAGCCAGCTCGGCCAATCCGTGTGAGCCACGCGATCGGCAATTGTCGACGCGCCGAGCGAGCGAGAGAGAGAGAGAATATCATTCCCTCCTTGTCGCTCTCGAGCCCTTGTTCTCGCTCAGCGAGCGAGCCTAATTCTTTCTTAAGCTAAGACTCCATGCATGCGGTGAACTGCGGCAAATGCTGCGGTGACCAATCAGGAGGGGGGCGCAAGTCCGGTTGCGGCAAGCTCCGGCATGCGTCTGTCTCCTGATTGGTCACCGCAGCCGTTTGCCGGAGCTCACCGCATGCATGGAGTCTTAGCTTTACCCATAATCTGAATCGCGGGCGCGACTGTCTCTCTCTCCTTTCCTCTCTATGACAATACTGAAAAGTTTTGTCTACTCGGCGCACCGAAATTATTACAAATAATATTTTATTTTTAATAATATTATTATTTGTAATATATATTATTTGTAATATTATTATTTGAAATTTTATTTGTAATCGTATAATAAGGTTACAAATAATACAAATTTTTACAAATTTTATTTATAAAAATTTATATCATTCGTAATATTATTTATAATAGTATTAATAATATTCGGCGCCAAGAAAATAAAATATATTTTATTAATTATTTCGGGGTCGGGCAGGTTCACGGGTTTGATTATTGAATTGTTTAATAATATTTTAAGAATAATTTTAAATTATACAAGGATGTAGTATGAAATATAAAAGAATATTGTAACAGAATCAAAAAGTACGAAATGAAACCTCTTTGCTTTTATTACAATATCCTGTAAGTTAATAAATATTTTTCATACAGTAAATAACCTCCAAAAACAATTACATCCGTGAAATTTTCTATTTGCGCGAAAAAAAATTCATAAAAAAAATTCATAAAAAAATTCATATTTGTTTCGTCGCTCTAAATGAGAAAACTCTCAGAACAATGTCATAGTTGTTCAGTACACTACTCAATAAAAATATAATAATACTATGTTTGTATGCGTGAAGAATATTTGCTAACTTACAGGATATTGTAATAAAAGCAAGGAGGTTTTATTTTGTACTTCTAAAGCCAAGACTTATTAACGGCTAAAGACATATTCGAATTGATCTTGCCTTAATTGGTCGGATCAATGATCGGTCTTGCCTTAAGTTCCAAGCCTCATAACTCGGAAAGTACTCGATGAAATGTAACTTTGTCAAAGTGTTTTGGAATGCTCTCGAGATAAGCTACAAGAATATGTAATAAAAAATCGTAGTTTCTATTTAAAAAAACATTAATGATCTTGGCCTGATTTTGACAAGGTCACTTCACTCAAGGTCAAGTCCACATTTCCGTTATGTGTCGTCCTTCAAGCTATGCAACTTTCGTTCGAAAAATTTTTTAATAAAATAATATAAATTTTTACAAGTAAAATTTATCATTCTTTATTGGAACACTGAGTTATATGGTTATTTTACTTGTTATTGTAACAAATTAATTATTATAATAATGCAATAAAAAATATTTAATACATAAAATCTTGGCGCGGCTGCACCAAAAACTATATCGAAGTAAAACTTGTTTAATACATGACAGCATTTTTATTATAATATATTCTATAATGAAGGTTTATAATTTGTTTATTATAATGCTATATAAACTTAAATAGAACATTATGCCGTATATGTATAAAGAGAATTTACAAGAACATTTTATTATAATAAAAATACTGTCATGTATGTATTAATCAAGTTTTAGTTCGATATAGTTTTTTAAAGTCAAATTAGATGTCATTGACATTTCGTCAATTATAATAAGAATAACATCTTTGAATAAAAAAATATCAAAATATGTAGAATATATACACATTCGATATGTATATTCTATAGTGAAGGTTTATAATTTATTATAACACTATATAAACTTAAATAAAACATTACACCGTATATGCATAGAGAGAATTTACAAGTATGTTTTATTATAATAAAAATGCTGTCATATATGTATTAAATAAGTTTTACTTCGATATAGTTTTTGGTGCAGCCGCGCCAAGATTTTATGTATTAAATATTTTTTATTGCATTATTATAATAATTAATTTGTTACAATAACAAGTAAAATAACCATATAACTCAGTGTCCCAATAAAGAATGATAAATTTTACTTGTAAAAATTTATATTATTTTATTAAAAAATTTTTCGAACGAAAGTTGCATAGCTTGAAGGACGACACATAACGGAAATGTGGACTTGACCTTGAGTGAAGTGACCTTGTCAAAATCAGGCCAAGATCATTAATGTTTTTGTAAATAGAAACTACGATTTTTTATTACATATTCTTGTAGCTTATCTCGAGAGCATTGCAAAACACTTTGACAAAGTTACATTTCATCGAGTACTTTCCGAGTTATGAGGCTTGGAACTTAAGGCAAGACTGATCATTGATCCGACCAATTAAGGCAAGATCAATTCGAATATGTCTTTAGCCGTTAATAAGTTTTGGCTTTAGAAATACAAAATAAAACCTCCTTGCTTTTATTACAATATCCTGTAAGTTAGCAAATATTCTTCACGCATACAAACATAGTATTATTATATTTTTATTGAGTAGTGTACTGAACAACTATGACATTGTTCTGAGAGTTTTCTCATTTAGAGCGACGAAACAAATATGAATTTTTTTATGAATTTTTTTTATGAATTTTTTTTCGCGCAAATAGAAAATTTCACGGATATAATTGTTTTTGGAGGTTATTTACTGTATGAAAAATATTTATTAACTTACAGGATATTGTAATAAAAGCAAAGAGGTTTCATTTCGTACTTTTTGATTCTGTTACAATATTCTTTTATATTTCATACTACATCCTTGTATAATTTAAAATTATTCTTAAAATATTATTAAACAATTCAATAATCAAACCCGTGAACCTGCCCGACCCTGAAATAATTAATAAAATATATTTCATTTTCTTGGCGCCGAATATTATTAATACTATTATAAATAATATTACGAATGATATAAATTTTTATAAATAAAATTTGTAAAAATTTGTATTATTTGTAACCTTATTATACGATTACAAATAAAATTTCAAATAATAATATTACAAATAATATATATTACAAATAATAATATTATTAAAAATAAAATATTATTTGTAATAATTTCGGTGCGCCGAGTAGACAAAACTTTTCAGTATTGTCATAGAGAGGAAAGGAGAGAGAGACAGTCGCGCCCGCGATTCAGATTATGGGTAAGAAAGAATTAGGCTCGCTCGCTGAGCGAGAACGAGGGCTCGAGAGCGACAAGGAGGGAATGATATTCTCTCTCTCTCTCTCGCTCGCTCGGCGCGTCGACAATTGCCGATCGCGTGGCTCACACGGATTGGCCGAGCTGGCTATGTGCGTATATGGGTGGGAGGGAGGAGAATCCTCGTGCAAGCCCACCACCAAATTCGCATCACTGATACCAATGATGTGAAAACCGAACATAGCACAGAATAGAACCAAATAATTATGGACATAGCACGGAATAGTACCGACAAATCGTGGACATTGGCTTAGTAGTTCATATCCATGAAAAATGGACCTAGTTGGCGTTGCGAATCAGCCAACTTTTCCATAACGCTGTAAATGCAGCCATGCTCGCTCTCAGGCTTCTCTCTGGCGGGACCCTTTGCGCATGCTACTTGCGCTCACTATCTGCACTTACATCCATTACTGGAAACGCTTGCATCGAGCTCTGACGTCATGCTCACGCATGCGCACAAGGATTCCCAACTGGGAAAAATTCCCACGGCTTATTATCACTGCAAGGGGCCTCAAGCAAATATACATAAACGTGTCTGAACATGGAGTCGAAAAAAATTGAGAATACTAATAATGAAAGAAATGAAAAAATTACTTGGAAAGATTTAGTAAGTACTGAATAGTCGTAATTGTAAAATATATAATCTCAAATAACCGTGTACGTGTTATAAAGTGAGCACGTGTCACATAAAGTGAGTGAAACTTATAGCGATTATTTTAACTTGTTTGCTGTTGTTTAAAAGCATTAAAAAGCATATAATGAAGTGAATTGTTTAAAGTATTGGAGATGAAAGCTATAATCAAGATATTTACTAATGCTCATTTTTATAGGGGATTATAGATGCTCTTTGCAAAGCCTGTCATGATTTAAAATGGGAAGAACCTACCAAGATTCAACGAGAAGCTATTCCTTTGACGCTTCAAGGTAATTTAAAAAATTATATAAAGCTTAATTTTGTGGAGAAGAAATAATAAAGTTTATTTGCTCTTGTTTAATAGGTAAGGATATAATAGGACTGGCAGAAACTGGATCAGGAAAGACTGCTGCTTTTGCATTGCCTATGTTGCAGGCATTATTAGAAAATCCTCAGAGATACTTTGCACTTGTACTAACACCTACAAGGGAACTGGCATTCCAAATTTCAGAACAATTTGAAGCATTAGGTAAGAAGAGAAACATTTGGACTATAGCAGCCAAATAATACTTTGATTATGATACCTTGTTAAATACTTTGAATTATATCAAATTTTGCTTTAGGTTCCAGTATTGGTGTAAAATGTGCAGTATTAGTAGGTGGGATGGACATGAGCGCGCAAACGTTGCTACTTAGTAAAAAACCTCATATTATTATTGCCACACCTGGAAGATTGGTCGACCATTTAGAAAACACCAAAGGCTTTAGTTTGCGAAACTTAAAATTTCTGGTGATCAAACAAGATTCAGTAAATTTATCTCCATATTTATTGAATTGACTCTAATTTCATTTGTTTTATACTTTACAGGTTATGGATGAGGCGGATCGTATTTTAAATATGGATTTTGAGATAGAAGTTGATAAAATTCTCAGAGTAATACCCCGAGAAAGGAGAACGTTATTATTTTCTGCAACCATGACTAAGAAAGTACAAAAGTTACAACGTGCATCTTTACGGAACCCTGTAAAAGTTGAAGTATCCACTAAGTATCAAACTGTAGAAAAACTACAACAATATTATATATTCATTCCAGTAAAATTCAAGGTATACTAAATATTATAAAAATTATTAGTTGCACGCGCATGTATACACGTGTATGAGTGCATGCGTGTATGTGTGTATGTAAAATCAAATCACTGTATAAATAATTTTTACATAATTATTGATCCTATGAGAATAATCTTACACGCATAAAATGAATTACGGTAGGACGTGTATCTGGTGCATATCTTGAATGAGCTCGCTGGCAACAGTTTTATGATATTCTGTGCAACGTGCAATAATACTGTAAGAACTGCTTTATTATTACGAAACTTGGGCTTCACGGCGGTTCCGTTGCATGGACAAATGTCGCAGAATAAGAGAATCGCTGCACTTACCAAATTCAAAGCAAGGAATAGATCTATACTAATTTCAACGGATGTCGCTAGCAGGTGAATCCATGACCTGTAGAGTCAGCTTAATGTTTCTACATTGTATAAAACAGAAATGTGACGAAACACTTTTATATTTATAGAGGTCTCGATATACCACATGTGGACATTGTTATCAATTTTGATATTCCGACGCATAGCAAAGATTATATACATAGAGTAGGTCGAACTGCGCGTGCAGGTCGATCGGGTCGATCTATCACATTTGTCACACAATACGATGTGGAACTGTATCAACGAATAGAACAACTTATATCGAAGCAACTACCACTGTGGCCTACGGAAGAGGGGGAAGTAATGCTGCTACAAGAAAGAGTTACCGAGGCGCAACGAATAGTAAAAATGGTAATTAGGTTTATGCAAAATATTTGAAGAATTGATACGTTTACGCGCGCGTGTATGTACATCATTCGTAAATATTGCAACTCTCTAGGAGGTGAAAGACATCGAAGAAAACAAAAAGTTGGGTAAACGGAAAAAACGTGCTGGCGACAACGAAGATGACACAGAACAATCCATTGGAGTAAGAAAACGAATCAAAGGAAATGGCAAGAAGATGGGAAAAAGAAGATAATGTTAAGTATTGCACGCAGTGCAATATTGAGACTGATAGCTTTTTTCTTAAATTACGAGCGGTTAAAAGTAAATTACACACACACACACACACACACATACATACGTGTGTGTGTGTGTGTGTGTGTATAATTTATTTTTAGTCGCTCATAATTTAAGAAAAAAAGTTATAATAATTAAAATGATTTTACGGACTGGTAAATATTTCTAAATCTTTACCATAATCCTTTATAATTGAAATACAAATGGTTCGGTATAAAAATTTGTTAAAACATTGATGATTTCCTATGTTTGGTGCTTAAATATTTTTATATCCAAATATTCAAACGCTAGTAACTTTTTGGCTAACATCATACTCTAAAAACAAATATTTAAAATAATTGTACGGATTTACAGCCTTTGTAAACATACTATAATTTTCGATAAACCATTTGGTATACAATTTTTTTAAGAATTGTCAAGTTGCAGCTAATATTGTAAAAAAAAGATAATTAAAATTGCATGGGAGCTCATAAACTTTCTTAAACGCATTGCAGTTCTTTATAAATGAAATACAAACGATTATGTAATGTAATTTCTTGAAAATCAGTAATTCGCTGACTAGCTTTGTGCGAATCTTGCCGCACAGCAAAAATTGTCTTGAGAATAATGCAGTAGCATATTAACGTCTCGTTTCACTAGTGATAATAAATACATAACGCGCAGGAAATGAGCCGTTCATTGGTTACCGTAGTATTCACTAGCAAACTCTGTCGTTGCGCGACAAAATTTGTACGAAATTAGGCGGTGAATTATTAATTTTTGACAAATTACATCATGCAATAGTTTCCATTTTGTCTATAGAGGATTGCAATGGGTTTAGAAATATTTCTGACTTGCTGTGTTCTATGCGCGAGAGCTATAAAGGATTACTATTTCTTGTGAATCAGAACCAATTGAAACTAATCAGATTTTGTTGTATTTTGAACAATTTTATTTCTAATACATAAAATTTTAAATGACCACCAATTTATTTCTTCTGCGCCGCGGCGGCTTCGTCCTCGCGCTGATACGACTGCAGAAGCTCTTGCTTCTTCGAAGCGATGCGTTCTGCGCGTCGTTTGCGCGCCTCTCTGACTTTCGTTCGGCGGGCCTCTGCTTGATCCGACAGCATTTCCGCACGCGCCTTTTCTGCCTTTTTTTTATGTATGAACTCCATGAGTACTCGCTTATTCTTGAAGACATTACCCTTGGCCTTCATGTATAACGAATGATACAAATGACGATCTATTTTCTTAGTCTCGCGATACTTTTTCAGTAGCCGACGTAAGACTCTCATCCGTTGTATCCATAAGTCCTAAACACAAAGCATGTGAATAACTGTACTAATTGAACAAACACGATAATAGATTACTTATGTTATATTCATCACTAAAATATATGTACCTTTTGTGGCGTTCGTGCATTTGCAGTACCTTTTCTTTTACCAAAACCACAGTGACGTCCTTTACGTCTGGCCTCTGTATTCTTACGGACACGTGCCCGCGAATGTACTGCCACAGGCTTCTTAATGATCAAACCATCTTTAATAAGCTTTCTGATATTCTGTCCTAAAGCCAAAAAATATAATCAAAAATAAATGAAGAGATTAGTGATACAATACAATTCTCTATCAACATTCGATTGATATTATTATGACATGAATTACTTTTATACAACCAAGTTAAAATTGGTGTAATATGTAGTCTATTTGTAGTCATCTGTAATCTATTTTGACACAAACCTCATATAACTTTAAATAGTTCTTGATGTAACCAATGATATTTCGTATTGCATAAACTTATTACATACAACTGTGAGATGAAACATTAGCAGTTGTATCGAAAATTGTCAAATGAATTTTATACTGGTTTTATAAACTTAAATCATGGTATCTCAATGGATCTTACTATGTAGGCAGTCTGAAAAGTTCTCGACTTGGCACATACATGCCATTAGAAACTGTCAAACTATAATTGTATTGGAAAGTGGCATCCCTGATATAAACCCATGTAAAATTTTATTCAAACTGTCAAATCATTCGAGTAATAGCACCAGTTGAAAAAGCTTTGTGCAAGATGGATGCCACATTTGCTAACAATTGACCAAAAACGCATTCGAATACATATTTCTCAAGCGTGTTTGGATCGTTTTAAGCAAAATAAAATGAATTTCAAGCGTCGTTTCATAACTGTTGATAAAACTTGGATCCACCACTATACACCCGAGCGAAAAGAACCTTCCGGAATCACACTTTAATGATGGTATTGAATTATTGGAAAAACAGAATAAATGTATTGAAGTTTCAGGAGATTATATTGAAAAATAAAACATATTTCACCACAAAAAAATTGTCTTTCATTGTTAGGCCGAGAACTTTTCAGACTGCCCTCGTATATTGGAGTTTTAGGTTATCAAGGGAATGTAAGCTAATATAAAATAAAAATATAAGAGACATTTGCAGAAAACCGCATACTTACGGGAATTCGTGTTTGCAATTTCGTTAATTTCATTCGGATCCAACCATACTTTCTTTTTGCCACATCGCATAACAGAGGCTGCTAGCCTCTTCTGGAGCTTCAAAGAGCTGCAATAAAAAAAGCATAGTTATGTTGGACAATGAGTCCGTGATCAATTGTATGTAATATATATATGTTCATCAAAACTAATAAAATATGTGATTTTTTGGTTATAAAGAAAAAATGGCACTATTTTCGTTACACTATGTAACATCCATATTTTAATGAGAAACACGTGTACTGCGATGTCTCGATAACGTAATCGGAAATATTTTCTCGCGAAATCAAGTTCACAAGAAAACGCGGATCTCGACATGAATCTTGCGTCGAATCTGCATATGACTGATTAATATTTGGTAGAAACTCGTAAAAAGTCTCTCATAATCTACAAACCTCATAGTGCTGCCTAAGAACTTTCCGAAACTTTGTAGTAGAAATGAAAATCAAAATGGCAGACACATATCTCTCACTCTCTTTCTCTCTCTCTCGCACTCGCCCTCTCACTCTCTCTCTTTCTCTCTCTCTCTCTCTCTCTCTCTCTCTCAGTGTTAGCAAAGAGAAACCTGAGAGCGGCCACTGGACCAGTTACACTGGGACGCTTTTTTCAACAAGTTCCGTTGCGCCCCCTGAGAAAATGTGTATACACTGCGTTCGTGCTGACTACAGACTTCGTTCGTTCGATTCGTTCGGTATATGGCTTTAGGTAGAAACGTGTACAGTCGCGGACATAAAGGTTGTCATTTTTTTTTTAATGACTTTCGGGACGCATCCCGACTCGAGAAAGATGAGAGCTGCTGCTCCGCCTGCGGAGCACGCCTACGCAGTAACTCACAACGAAAGGCGAGAAATGAAATATACGTGGTATGACATAAGTATGTCAACAATCATTGTGTTTAGCAGAGAAAACCGCTCAGTGAGCGATTAATGACTAAATAAATATGATTTCACTTAAAATTTAATATACATACCTGTTCAATACCTTGCAAAAGACGCACTCCCATTTGAATGACTTGCCTATGTATCTATCTCTCCGCTGCTGATTTTTCAAAATGTAGGAATTGGGTGCGTTCACGACACTCAACGGTTGAGCAACTGTTGAATAATTTGTCAACGTTATTAGTCTGAATGTAAGGATCTAACAGTAAGGACTAATAGTTACTAATCGCTCATTGAGCGGTTTTCTCCGTTAAACGCAATAATTGTTGACGTACTTAAGTCATACTACGTATATTTCATTTCTCGCCTTTCGTTGTGAGTTACTGCGCAGGCGTGCTCTGCAGGTGGAGCCAGTGATGCCAGTTGCAGGACCCAAACAGCATAGCTACAGTGCGTGTAACGGCGTGCACCAAACAAACTATCATGTACATACATACATGCGCCTGTCCGTCACGAACTATAGCACTCGGCACTTCGGCTAAGTTCGAACAGTGGAAGAGTGCAGACGACACTGTTCTCTTTCTCTCACGATCTATTAGTTATAGCCAGCCGTGAAAATAATGCCTAGGCGTCTTTAATGTATTTCGCCGGTCGCGTGTCTTTTCTCGCGCGTGCGTTCTCTTCCTACCCAATTAATTGTCCTAATTAATTGTAGCATTAAATAGAAAGTTTTCTACATATAAAAAATATAAAAAATGAAGAAATGAAAAACAGAAAGAATGTAAAAAATAAAGAATATAAATCCACTCTTGACCAATATGTACGTATTTTCCTTAAAAAAGCATGGTTATTGATTTGTAAAAATTATTTAATATGCAAAAAAAGACATTGCCAAATTAAATTATATATTTTCTGTTTCGTAAAAAGTATTCCGTTAATATACTTTTTACTTTACTAATAGCAGAGTCATTATAATAAGCAACAGAAAAAGATGTTCTTGCAGTAATAGTTTTCTGCTGTTTCAATTTTATAAATGGACTAAGTTAATTTTATTTGGGATATTCCAAGTTGAAACTTTTGATTCTATGAGGCCTGTATATTGCAGAATTGTATTTCTGTAATGCTACTAATTGGAAGTTATTTTCTCCATGTTGAGACAAAAAGAAGAACTTTTCTGTAATATGTAGACTTGACATGAGATCAAATATTTCGACTCGGAAAAACACTTTTCGTATATTTTTTTGAATATATTTAAAGATATACTGAAGATTTCCTGCATTCATTAATATTATATTAAAAATTTATATAATATACAATATTGATAATTTCTGAAACTGTTTAGAATATTCCTTAATATCTAGAAAAATGTGGAAAAGTATTTTAGAAAAATAAAATGTCTCGGATTACATGCAGAAAATTTCTATCAAATAATTTATCAGACTGTATCATGCGACCGGGATATGTTTCTACTATAAACTAACTAAACAGATAAAACCACGCAGAAAAATATTAGTTTCTCAAAATGAAATGTTCTCATGTATACGAACAATAATATATCATCTGCTAAGAATATTTTTTGTTTTGCATTGATTAAATTTTTATTGATACAAGTATTGCAATTACTTGCATTGATATTAATTTAATCAACGTAAAGTTAAAAATGTTCTAAGAAGATTGTATATTCTTGCTTAT